GCTATTTAAGCCAAGATCGCAAGTTTCCTTTATTCGGCACGACATATAATATATTAATATATATATATATATATATATATGATATATATATATTATATATATATGTTGAGGTGGTTTGGTCATTTAGAGAGACTGGATCAAAGTAGAATGACATGGAAAGGCATATGAAATCTATAGGGGAGGAAGGCGGGGTAGGGGGTCGTCCTACGAAGAGTGGTTGGAGAAAGGGTAAAGGAGGTTTTGTGGGCGAGGGGCTTGGACTTCCAGCAAGCGTGCGTGAGCGTGTTAGATAGGAGTGAATGGATACGAATGGTATTGGGACCTGACGATCTTTGGAGGTGAGCAGGGTAATATTTAGTGAAGAGATTCAGGGAAACCGGTTATTTTCATATAGTCGGACTTGAGTCCTTGGAAATGGAAGTACAATGCCTGCACTTTTAATGAGGGGTTTGGGATAAGGCAGTTTGGAGGGATATGTTGTGTATCTTTATACGTATATCATCTAAACTGTTGTAATTCTGAGCACCTCTGCAAAAACAGTGATAATGTGTGAGTGTGGTGAAAGTGTTGAATGGATGTGAAAGTATTTTCTTTTTGGTGGATTTTCATTCTTTTTTGGGTCACCCTGCCTCGGTGGAACGGCCGACTTGTTGAAAAAAAATTATATTATAATAGTTATATAATATATATATATATATATATTATATATAATATATATATATATATATATATATATATATAATATATATATATATATTATATATAATATATATATATATATGTCGAGTGGCTATTCAGCCCCAGGAGTGGTGGAGACTCAATGCTATATTAAATGCAGCCAAGTCCTCGTCCACTCAGAGTATGTAATATACCACAGCTTCGCAACTCGTTGCTTCCTGCTAGGGTTCCCAAGCAAAGAACCAAGATTCATTTCTGGGCGAGTCGAGACGTATGGGCAAGTTTCCTGTCGCCGAAGTTCACTTTTCAAATAAATAGGTACCTGAGTGTCAGGTTACTGTTGCTGGCGACACACTGGGGTGATAGTGGTAATATAGCTTACCTCAGGGGTTTCCAAACTCGGGTGCTCGTAACCCCGGGGATACAACAAGGGATTTTCAGGGGGAGGTACGCTAACGAGTTATTAAAATATGTTGTGTTGTTATTTATATACAGTGGGTTTTTTTTTTTTTTGACAATCACATAGTTTCCAAATGTTGTTTAATAAAAGTATGATATTGCTATGCTCACACAGAAGCACGTCAAAGTATATTCTTATTGCATCGTTTTAAATATCAACAAATAGTCCATGTATCAGGCTTTTATTTCGCGAATTTACCTTTTTTACTACAGCACGGATACTGTTGTAATGCTAAGTTACATATTCGTAAAACCCAAGAGTATATCCTGTCTGTATGCCTATATCTCTAACAATATAGAAAGTTATTGTCATATTTGTGCACAAATGTACGCGGTGGATAATACAAAACATTAATTAAGGTGTACACGGTCAACACAAGTTTGGGAAATGATGCCATAGATAGAACTAGGCTTTAAAATTACTCAGGATAACAGCTCTTACCCTGTAATGAAGTCAGGTAGGATAACAGCTCTTACCCTGTAATGAAGTCAGGTAGGATAACAGCTCTTACCCTGTAATGAAGTCAGGTAGGATAACAGCTCTTACCCTGTAATGAAGTCAGGTAGGATAACAGTTCTTACCCTGTAATGAAGTAAGGTAGGATAACAGCTCTTACCCTGTAATGAAGCCAGGTAGGATAACAGCTCTTACCCTGTAATGAAGTCAGGTAGGATAACAGCTCTTACCCTGTAATGAAGTCAGGTAAGATAACAGCTCTTACCCTGTAATGAAGTCAGGTAGGATAACAGCTCTTACATTGTAATGAAGCCAGGTAGGATAACAGCTCTTACCCTGCAATGAAGTCAGGTAAGATAACAGCTCTTACCCTGTAATGAAGTCAGGTGGGATAACAGCTCTTACCCTGTAATGAAGTCAGGTAGGATAACAGCTCTTATCCTGTAATGAAGTCAGGTAGGATAACAGCTCTTACCCTGACTCAAGAAATCGTAATGACACGATTGCAAACAAACCATACCCCCGGCCGGGATTGAACCCGCGGTCATAGAGTCTCAAAACTCTAGCCCGTCGGGCTGGAGTTTTGAGACTCTATGACCGCGGGTTCAATCCCGGCCGGGGGTATGGTTTGGTTAGCTCTTACCCTGTAATGAAGTCAGGTAGGATAACAGCTCTTACCCTGTAATGAAGTCAGGTAGGATAACAGTTCTTACCCTGTAATGAAGCCAGGTAGGATAACAGCTCTTACCCTGTAATGAAGTCAGGTAGGATAACAGTTCTTACCCTGTAATGAAGTCAGGTAGGATAACAGTTCTTACCCTGTAATGAAGTCAGGTGGAGATAACAGCTCTACCCTGTAATATAGTCAGTGTAGGATAACAGTTCTTACCCTGTAATGAAGCCAGGTAGGATAACAGTTCTTACCCTGTAATGAAGCCAGGTAGGATAACAGCTCTTACCCTGTAATGAAGTCAGGTAGGATAACAGCTCTTACCCTGTAATGAAGTCAGGTAGGATAACAGCTCTTACCCTGTAATGAAGTCAGGTAGGATAACAGCTCTTACCCTGTAATGAAGTCAGGTAAGATAACTGCTTTTACCCTGTAATGAAGTCAGGTAAGATAACAGCTTTTACCCTGTAATGAAGTCAGGTAAGATAACAGCTTTTACCCTGTAATGAAGTCAGGTAAGATAACAGCTTTTACCCTGTAATGAAGTCAGGTAAGATAACTGCTTTTACCCTGTAATAAAGTCAGGTAGGATAACAGCTCTTACCCCGTAAATGAACTTAGCTAGGATGTTTCAGCTATATAAGAAAACAGAAGCTGAGGAAGTAAGATTATTTAGGTACAGGTACACATAATTACAATTATCACACCTAGTAACATACGTGTAAATTACCTATGAGAACCCCTTAAAAAAGTCACAGTGCAGTGATGTACTCTAAGTGATGTTCTCTCTCTCTCTTATGAGCTGCTGTTGCAATTATTGAGAAAGTGGTCCAAAGCCTTGTTGTTGTTTTGTTAAATAAAGATCTTAAAATGGATGGAAATAAAATTAAACTGATTTTTACTGGGCTGTCCTAGGTTAGATCTACATACATACTCTAGTATTTATTTATTACCTAATGAATGTGTCCTCAGAACAGTGTGGAAATTTATACTACCTGCAAAATTATCTGTATGTAGGTTTCCTGAATGAAGCTTATCTTATTAACGTCAGCTCCTTTCAAAGTCCATGCAGCCTTATCTATTTATTGTATTACCCCACTCAGCATGCCACCCACAACATTCGACTTTGCTGTACTAATAGTAACCCTTCCCCATCCAGGATGCCACCCCTCAACAGTGACTATTTAAGGTATACTACTACTATTACCCCTTTCCCCCAGGATGCCACCCCTCAACATTCAAGTATTTAAGGTATTCTGCCCTCCCTTCCCTCCAGGATGCCGCCCACAACAGTCGCCCAACACCCAGGTACCTACTTACCGCTAGGTGAAAAGATTTAAGATGACTTACCCCTACAGCTCACTCAGCCTACCGTCTACATGTGGGGCACTAATGGATGTAGTTCACTTCTACACTAACCTGAAAAAAACGTGAAAATTGCTTTAATCCCCAAATAGGGATTAAACTACCACGTATATATATATATATATATATATATATATATATATATATATATATATATATATATATATATATATATATATATATATATATGGCATACACCCTCTTTTTTAAGAATGTTTATATACCAAAAGGTGTATAACTCTCAGTGTATATACAGTTATTATTATTATTATTATATTATAATCAAGGGGGAAGCGCTAAACCCGGAGGATTATACAGCGCCTGGGGGGGGGGATGTGGAAGGCATTCAGGCTTAATTCTGGGAACTGGAGCACAGATCCAATTCCCTAAATCAAGAGCCCCTCACCAACATCAAGGAACCTTCCTTGAGGGGAGTGTATATACAGTGAATGTAATCTCTATTATCAAAGTCAAAGCCAAAGCCAAAATTTGCCAGAATGCTCTGCATTACTTTGGGGGGTTGTAAAATAATAATTATAATAATTATTATAATAATTGTAATAATAATTACATAATAATATATTATTATTATAGGATGTCACTGAGTGGTTGGTTTATTGTGTTTAATTTGTATTTAGTGCAGGAGGGTCATTAAGACTAAATGCCACCTGTAACACCACTGGTGTAGGATACAATAATCCTGAAACTATGGATTATAAAATAAACTCTCGGCATATATGTGCACTTCGATTCCCAGCCAGAGTAGAAACATTGGACGTGTTTCTTTTCACCTGTTGTCTATGTTCCCCATCAGTAAAATGGGTACCTGGGTGTTAGTCGACTGGTCTGGTCGCATCCTGGGACACTGACCTAAGGAGGCCTGGTCACAGACCGGGCCGCGGGGGCGTTGACCCCCGGAACTCTCTCCAGGTAAACTCCAGGTAAACTGCGGTATAGAGAGACGCCTCCTGGCGGATATAACCTATGTGAGAGCTAGTTTTTGGACAGGATATGTGCTTAATTAAGCTTATTTAAGTACAGTTGCACATTCTTTGGATGATTTCAATTGTCTTACATATTAACGTATGTGTAAATTATCTAGGTTAATAACAGAATAAAGTCAAAATGATTTATTTTCATTGTGGTCTTTAAATTTCCATTGTGATCCTTGAAGTATATATCTCTCAGTGTATAGATGTTGAGAGTTTGTTTTAACCACTACTCTAGCATTAGGGTGTGCTTTGCTGCTTGTGTAAAGGTGGCAGGCAGCGTTAATGTAGTGGATAGAGTTCAAATCTGATTGGTTTTTGGAAGAGGGTTTGAATTTGGCGGGTGAGGAAGCAGGTGTCGACGCGGAGGAATACACAGCTCGGCGAGACAGCTGTCGGGTGCGGCCATATTGTGGGAAAGGTTCTTGTGCAGTGGGGGAAAACTTCTACATATCCCCGAATATCGGTGTCATCAGCGCGGGTCCACCATGACGGAGCGGGAGGATAACGTCTACAGGGCCAAGCTCGCCGAGCAGGCAGAAAGATACGACGGTAGGCGAAGCTGGAGGTGGATAATTTGTGAGAGATTCTTTAGGCGGGCGGCGGCCGACCCAACCCCGATGAAGGTTCAAGTTGACAGTCGACGCGCGGTGGATCTGGGGCTGATTGGGGCTAAACGTGTCCTGTGTGGCGGTGAGGGCTACCCATGCCCAGCCATGAGGACCCCAATACCCTGGGTGTAATGATTTTGAGTTGGATGTTGTGAGCGGCTGCGGGAGGGCAGGGAGAGAGGGCGTAAGGAGCCGCCTTCTAATTTTGACATTTGAAACGCGTAGATGTACCGCGTGATCAAAGTGGGAGATATCGATCAGGGGCGTGGGTGGGCGAGGCTCTTGGACCGTGGGCGGCTGCCCCTGGGCGACCCACGCCCAGGACGGTAAATCACCCACACATGGGCGTGGAAGGTTGGTGGGGGCCGGCCCCCCCGCCCCTCTTAAACACCCATTATGAAGTGCGGTGACATCTAGGGTGGGGAGAGACTTCCTGGGCTATTTTATACATTTTAACATTCCTACGCTAAAATTTAAATTAAGATTCTTGCCACAATGTGAATTTTTCAAACATTCTCACATTAAATATTTTCCACTCATTCACGCATTAAATTTTTATTTAAAGGATCTACAATTTTCTTGTATAATTCCTTTTAAAAAGTTTTGAATGCTTCTCATTAGTTTGTCTTAGCTGTGCATTTATGAACTTTTACAAAATCAGTTTCACGTCATTGCCACTTAATTGTTAAATCCTCGAGTGTTTAAACACGAGTGATTATGGGTGTGGCATTATCTTGACGTACATATAAAAAGGCATTATACCTCATGTCTGTGACGTAGATGTGGGATAGTGTTGTCAGTAAAAGTAGTCTGTATTGGGGACAATACAGTAAGCCTGTTGGCCCATACTAAGCAGGTCTGACACTCGCTTGTTCATGTAAAGCTACTCGGTTCTCACCTTGTATGTGCTACCTGGGAATTTTTCTAGTCATGTTGAATCTAGTGCCAAACCAATACATACCAGTATCCTTTCTAAATCTAAATGTTTCCAACTTTAATTCATTGATGCAAGTTTTGACGTGACTATATTTTCAGTACTATATCACGTTGTTTTCTTCCATTTGTACACTTCCAGTCATATCAACTTAAATTCTTTCCAGAGCGCAAATTAAATGCACTCAGCCTATCTTAGAACATAACAAAGGTGCACTGCAGCAGGCCTACTGGCCCATGCCAAACAGGTGCAACTTTCTCTCCCACCTACTCTTGTATTTTTAAAGCTCCCAAATTTCTTGCTTAAGTGATGCTATCTGGGAGTTCCACTTGTCTAAATTTCTTATTGCCAAACCAATGCTCTCCTATATCCTTTCTAAATCTAAATTTTCCAACTTGAGCCCATTGCTGCAAGTCCTGTTGTGGTTAGACGTTTTCAGCATATTTTTATCATTCCTGTATTTCATTTTCCACTTTGTCATGTCCTTAATTCTACACCTTTCCTGAGTGTAAGTTCACTGCCATAAGTATTTCCTTGTAAGAAAGATTTCTGATCCGTGGGATCATCCTTCTGTATTTTCCAATGCATTTATGTCCATTCTGTAATATGGAACCCAGAACTGCACCATAATCTAAATGGAGGCCTTACCAAGGACACAAAGTTGCAAGTATAACCTAAGGCTCTTATAGATATGAAGTAAATTCTATTAGCACTCTTGTGAACACTTGTGCACTATTGTTGTGGTTATAGGGGTTCCAGTAAACTGTAATTAAGATATCTTTTTTTGCATTCAGATTGATTGAGGTCTGTTATGCACATTTCACTGCGTCTATTTCTCTGACTATGGCATTAGACTATCCAGATCTTCCTTTAGTGCTCTTAGTCCTCAGACTTTGGTGGTCTAATTTAGTGTCAGGCAAAATATCTTGTGGCTATTTATTCCCACATTGTGTAGTTTGAAGAAAACCCCAATACTGACCCCTGCATGGTGACTGATCCATGGGATCAATTTTACCCTTTTCTGTATATGTATTTTCATGTGCATTTATGCACTTGTGTGGCTTAATTATATTGATTTTTCCTCTCCAGAATTCAACCCACGACAGTTGACCAAGTTCTTGTACTCGACCTGTTTTCCCATTTGAGTTAAATGCACTATCATTCACTGGGGGGGGGGGGGGAAATGAAAAGAGGATGAGGTTGATCCCATGTATTGCACTTTTCCTCCAAGGATAGCCTGAAAGCACTTAATTTTCACTCAGATGTAGATTGGGGGTGGGGGGCTTGAGTGTACAAATGAAGAAACTGGAATAAAGGGGATATAAATATGTAACCAAGACGGGATTTTGCAGCAATGTAATTAAATTTTAAGTCTAAATTTAAATAGTATGTAGGGAACTATTGTCCTGATTTGGCAATAGAAGAGTGGCACAAACTCCCAAGTAGTCACTGAAAAAGAATATTAGGTAGCTTTAATTATAGGCTAGATGGGTAAGAGTGGGTGTGGTTGGATGTGAATGGTCTAGCATAGGCCTTTGCAGTGTTTCACTGTTAAGTTCTTATAACTTAGGCTCAAGTCACTTCAGGCAAACGAAGGTTATCTGCTAGTGGTCTAGGTGTAGGAATTATGACAATGTCAGGATATTAGTACTTAAGATACCAGCCCTTTAACCCTTTCAGGGTCCAAAGGCCAAATTTCAAAGTGTGCACTAATGTCCAAAAATTTAAAAAAAAAAAATTATTTTTTCTTAATGAAATGGTAGAGAATCTTTTCCTGAAGGTAATAAAACAAAAAGTATGAAGTTTTATGGAAAATTGACGAAATTATGCTCTCGTAAATTTTGATGTGTCAGCGATTTTCACGCATTGGCGATTTTGCCGACTTTGACTCCCATTTTAGGCCAATTATATTACTCCAGTCAACCAAATTCTTAGCTATTTCACTAGTATTACTTCTATCGACTGAGCACAAGAAATTGCCAAGTCAACTGTTTCAACTACAAAAGTGATGGGAAATTGGTAATTTGGCCAATTTAATGTAAAGTTCAAAATGTTCTAATTTCAAAATAGGGTCCAAAATAAGCAGTGCAGGTATTCCTGGCACTAAACTAACATTTCCTCTGTTCATTAGTTACGTTTTCAGGCTTTACAAATGAATTCCATTTTGATTTTTTATTCACGCAATTAATTTTTATTCAAACCAAAAAACAGAAGATTTACTGTTATGCAACACTAATAATTGTATAAATAACATCACCACATTTGTGAACGTATATTAGACCCACCAGCAGGCATGTATTAGACGTGTGGGATCATTTGTTTACTCTTGAATATTGGCAAAAATTTAACATTCCTATTTTGAGCTCAGTTTCAACCCATTTCCATTAGTAAAACCAATCAAAATCATCTCTGTCTGTAATATATCTTCCATTCTATCAAATGAGACCAGGAAATGGTGAATACAACTTTAAAAAACATACGAAAAAACACTGCAAAGTCGCTGTTTCAATTGAATTTTTTTTTTTTTTTTTCTCTTTATGCACTGTGTGCTGCAGGACCTGTTTTATGTGGTGCGCGCACACCACATAGATGTATTCTTTCATATCTAGGCCCAAATTTACTGCTCACAGCTTATCAGAGTGAGCCGAGTTCATGGCGTAGATCTACGGTTTGGACCCTCAACTTATAACCATAGATCTACGGCACGGACCCTCAAAGGGTTAATGGAGGTGCCTTGATGCCAGTGTTCACAGTATACTCAAATTGCATAGAAATAGTTTGCCGATAGATCAGTAAAACAGGTCTTCAGGTTCTGAGAACACTTTTGAGAGTACGTATTAGGATAATCTAAATAGGTTGAAGTGGTTAGAGAAGTGGCCAGTGCAGTTTGTGGAAAAATGTAGGGTCTAAGGTGAATGCTATATTTGCTTTCTTCCTGGGTGGGAGTTCAACAATTTTTCAGCTAAATTGTCTGAAATTAAATTGTACAAATTTAAAAAGTATAACCAAACTCAGTGCAACCTAACCACTCAGACTAATAGATTCTGATTGTACTCAGCAAAGCTAATAGAATTCACATCTAGTGTAAATAATAGGACTCTTTTGTAAGGCTTCATTTAGATTATACAGCTCAGTTCTGGTCTCTCTTGCTCTGGTGAACAGAAGGATGACAACGTTGATCCCCTAATCGGAAATCTTTCCTATGAAGATAGGCTAGGGTTATATATGATTGAAATACTTGTATACACATGGAAACTAGAATAAAGGGGATGAAAGTAACATGTTGGAAATATCAAAGACAGAACTTACTGCAGTGGATTAGTTGGACGAGTTGAGATTTAAAAAAATATAGGGAATCGCTGGTTTGGCATCATGAGTGGGGCACTCTCTCAAATAGCATCACTAAAGAGAACTGGGTAGCTTCAAAAATAGGTTGGACAGGCACAAGGGTGGGTGAGTGGGTGTATGTTGGACTTGCTTAACATTGGCTAGTAGGCCTGCTGCAGTGCTCCTTAATTCTTTGCTAGGGGCTTTGTCTGAGGGAGCAGGCTTAACCTTTCTTTTCCTTGGATCGAACAAAGATTACTTTGTTCCCCACACCCTGTATGACCCTTAACCACTCCACTGTCGGAAGCTCCAAAATTAAAACTGCTTGGTGTCAGCATTTAAAAAAAAAAATCTGAAATGGAGAACCTTTTTCTGAAGATAATAACGCCAGAACTACAGAATTTGATGGAAAACCTACGTAATTACCAAAGTATGAAGTTATCAGTCTTTTGAGTTTATGCATTGGTGGTTTTGCTCAGTCATATTTTAAGCCAATTCCATTGCTCAATTCAAATTCTAAGCTATTTTGCCAGTGCCTTTCCTTCTATTGATTGAGCACAATAAACATCCCATGTAACTATTGAAACTATTCTATAAAGTGTACCAAAGTTGTTAAATTGGCCAATTTTGCAGTTAAAAATAATTCCAATTTAAAAACAGCCCAAAAATAATTGCTATAC